CGAGTTCTCAAAATATTGTCATCATCGGGCTCATTAGCGACAAGGTAAGTATTTTGAAGTGTGACCTGCAATAGACCATATAAGTTAATAATCATATAGGTTGGTAGGTTGGTTGAAGGAATGAAAAATCATCCATAGTTGAGATAGGCAATTACAAGTAGAGGAGAACAGTCTTTTTTGGTCATAACAGTTCAAATCAAATGGAAAGAGAACATAACAACTTCTTACGGGATCTGATTCAATAAGATTGTCAGTGTCCTCGAACTCTCCCATGTCGGGTATATCTTCCTCCTCATCACCTCCAAAATATGTCGAAATTGATTGTACTGTGTTTTCCTTACTTATCACTAAAGTCTCTATTGAGGGAACATTGACGTCTTCATCAGTTTTGTTCTCTATTACGTACACAAGACAACATCAAACTTGATTAAAACGGGAGGCGATCCATAATAAAGAAAATCTAATTAAATAAGACTAAAACAAGAAACTTGTACCAAAATAAGACCTCCTATGTTTTTATCCCCTATATAAGAGCGTTGGCACTGTACAACACCACAATTTGGCAGTGTGTTGGCATTTCACAATGTTTTTGGCATTATGTATTGACACAATTTGACATAAGTCTTATTTTGGTATAAAACATTGAAGGTTTTATTTTGGTATATGAAACATGTTCTAGTCCTGATTAGGTATTTATATCTCCAAAAAGTAGTATATGAAATACCTTTGGGTTTTCCGTGTGTTGCTAGCCAACCATCATTATCCTCGCTTTCAATAAGAACTTCACCTCCAGCCGCTTCATATTCCTCCTCCACTGATGCTGCTCTTCGCAAACAAGGAACTACAAATTAAACAGAAAAAATTTAAACAAATTGGCATTGGGATCAAACGTCTCATGCGTGCAATAAGTACAATTAAAACTATTAGCATGGGGAGCTATACCAAATTACCAATGGCTGATGAGGTGCGGGGATCTACCAAAAGACATAGGATACTCATTGTTGCTGCTATGGGAACAATTTGGCATGTGGATTGGAGGGCTTGTAAATTGCTACTATTCAAACAAGAAGCCTAGAAGGAGGATTGCTATGTTTATATTTGGATTTAAGAACCAACCTAGGGTTGTGTTAACAACAAGTCAACAAGTAAGAAGTTTGAGTTAATACCGGAGAAGTGAAGTTTGTAGTTCCTGGGAGGTGTTTATTAGTGTGTGCTAGGTGTCTGTTTAAGTTCTGTGTATGTAAGTTTGAGTAGGACCTGCTCTATCTTCCATAAGGCTGGTTTGGCCAAATTGGAAATTTGATGAAATTTTGCAGATTCCCAAAAGAATATTTTTATTTATACACTTTTGGGTGGTGTTTGTGGAGGGTGCACAAAACAGGAATTTATTTGAAAAAAATCAAGTGAGGTAGAATAAATGAAAGCATTATGATATCAACCATTCAGCACTAGTATCACAATTATATTTATAGATGATATCGTCTGCAGCATCAGTTGGTCAGCTCATGCAAACAATAAGCTCGCTTTTCAGTGTTACATACTCGTAGCACTTATATGGCCAATATCTACTCAGTGTAAATGCGTGCAATTACCATTTCGAGTAATCAAGTATTGCTTCTCAGCGGGTAAATATGACTTTCTCCTGCTAGGCTCACCTGATTCCCTGCAAGCAAAATTAACTAGATACGGTGAGACAATATTGATACATGTTGCATCTAATAATACAGTACAATATTTTAAGAGAAGAAAGTAATCCCATCACATAAATTGAATGAGTCCGGTTCTTTTGACATTGGGTTCCGATGTCATAATATAACATTGGTTCAATTGAGAAACTTACAGTGCTCCAATCGACCCGAAAATAGTTCCTACTCTCCTAACCCTTCCCCTAAACCCCTGCCCCCTACTTGTCCCCATCCTTTCCCAATTGCACCCCTAAGAGAGGCAGGAACTGGTTGGATAACCCAACCAATCATTCAGAATGATGAAAATATAGAGACTAAAATTCTCCTAATAGGGCCAATGTTCTGCAGTAGTGGTGCAAAAAACAGAAGTCGATGACAAATTTGTGAGAAAAAATGGAATTGAACAATTTATAGAATCAGAATAGGAACAGGAATCACCAAGTCCAGGTAGGGCATTTGGAGACGAGATTGTCGCCGGCGAGGATGAACTCGTTGACGCTGAGAACGCCTTTCTCTTTGAAAGCAGATACGGTGCGGGGACTGGTGATTCTCTCCACCGTTCCCTTGAATGCTTCGTGAAGCTTCTGCGAGAGTACCATTCTCCACACCACCCTCCAATCGGAATTCAGCTCCTCTAGGGGTTAGTCAATGACTCAATGATATGCAGCCCTGTGGGGACTGGGGAAGGAGAATACCTAGTGCTTTAGAGATATCATATTTACATAACTAAATTAAAATTATTTTTGAATTATATGAAATAATATCTAGTAGAATATAAATATTTTATTATTTCAAAGTACAAAAGTATTTTGTTTTACAAATTTCAAAAGACTTCTTTATAAATTATATTATTCGTACAATTAGTGAAAATATTATTTTTGTTGCATATCATAATCTTGAAGCCACTACGATTTATTATTCCTGAAATTACAATATACAGTTGTCCATAACTACATGCCGGTTCCCGTAACAAGAATCCAACATGTTTTAGACATTGCCCCGACTCTTGTTAATCGTCATTGCGTACGAAATAACTATAGAGAATTGTCTTCTTTGAAACTTGAATAAAATTATTGTATCAAATGCTGTCAATGATAGTCTTAGAATAACGACTGATTCATCTATGTGTCTTCCAGATAATACCTTTCTTTGTATTGAATGATTAGTCAACTGAGTTACTATCAACCGTGTACGATTACATAAACCAAATAAATGATCAATATTTCTCAACTACATAATAGGCGTACTTACCTTCAAAGTTAACTCATGAATTGGAACTCCGTAAGCACGAAACTTATTTAAGAGCTCGAGAGATTGTAATTGGCACTCGTTCTAAAATATTAAAAACATCAACCATTAGACTTGATTCTTTGTGTCAGACTATTTCAAATCTATATTGAAATAATATTATAAGAATATCATTGCATATATAGTCTAAGTTTTCCCATTTGCATAACCAGAATTAGAGGCTGCGGTTTCGCTTCGTTGAGATCATTGATCACCAAATTAATGTGTTCTGCCCACAATATACAATTTAACTGAATCCCTATATACATTTAAAACTAAAATTAAACCATTAATGATTCGTGAAGTAAGATTATTAATACATCGGAATCATACTGTGTGATTATATCTAATAAAATTTATATATAATTTATTTTTAGGGAAAAAATTCATGCGGGGTGGGGGTACATGGGCGGGGGTAGGGTGGAGAGTCAAGGGGGTGAGTTATGGGGGGTAGAAACCGTCAATTTTACAAATGGAACACCGGAAGTGCTCCAAAATGAAAGTGGCACCGCTAGTATCACTAGAACTTCACCGTATTAATAATTATGATAACAGTAATAATAGTAGTAGTAGTAATAATAATATATTAATAATAATAATAATAATAATACTAATAACAATAGTAATAATAATTATTATCGGGAAGGTTTTGGAGCCACTCCTATCCAGTGGCCATAGAAGCCACTTAACATCTCATCCATCGATCTCATTAATGTATTCATCCAAGACAAATTATATTATACATCCGGTTGTACCCAATTTTTGGTACAACCAAGAAATTATGTATGATATGTATTTTATTTTATATGAGAATGAATACTAAATTATTTGAGAATGAACACTACATTATTTGTAGATGAATATTATAATTATATAAAACCAATGTATGAAAATGAGTACGACATTATTTTAGATGATATCTGATACCAAGATGAGTAATTTTTAATGATTAAAATATGTTTAAAAAGTGTAGAAAATTTACAAACACAATTACTTGCCATTATAAGACATATCACTCTACTCACCTGTCACACGTTCACTAAATTGATTTTGATTGGCTAAAATATTCCACATCATCGTGTGACATTCCATTTTCTACTTGTCATTGTCTATGCTCTGAGAGAAGTGGTCATCAAGTTTAGACTTGACAAAATAGACTCGAAAGAGATTACTCGGACTAATATCCAAAACCAAATTCGAGATTACCCGAAAATTGGAAAATTGATATAAAACCAAAGACCACGAGTGATCCAAACCAAAACAAAATTAAATTTCTTCTTACTCGATTTAGATTCGAATCTTATTGAATCCAAATCGATTAGACCTCAAACCAAATAAATCCAAAATTGATAATAGACAAAACGAGGAAACCCAAAACAGATTATGTGTACATTTAAATAATCTGTGCATGGGTGTAGTAAAAAAATTGCAGAATATACTCAAACTACCAAATTATATACTCTAACCATCTCAAATTAATCAACTCAACTAGTTTGGCGTCCCACTAACGAATTATGTGAAAAAGTTATACTGCCTTCGTCTCAATTTAAATTTCTCATTTTGGTTTATGATATTTATCTAAATTATTTTCAAATCATTTTATATGAAAAATGATGTAAAACTAAAATATAAAGATTACATATTAAAAAATTAGAGCAAAAGATCTACAAAATTATTGGTGACATTATTATATTACTTTATCAAATAACTAACAAAAATATAAAAAAATAAATTAAATTTGACCTTGTAAATAATAAACAAATAATTTAATTTGAGACATAGAGAATAGAATTAATCATAAAAAAACTCCTTATTTATATTACTCAATGACTAATGTTGTCCATGTCTTAAATTAGGTTGTATGTTTAGGTGGCTCGGTTCAGCTGACATAAGAAAATAATGTCATGCTATGACAAATCTTTTATCAGCCCTTGGATAAAAGTAGATCTAAATGAATGGTTGAGATGCACTTTTTCTATTTTAGATACTTTGGAAGTTTATTTCTACCCTCTCTCTATCTGGACGACGGCTCACGGGTAAACAAAGGAGCGATATTCACTCCCCATAGCGACAACGACGGCGACATCTCAACGCAAGCTCTCTCAATCTCTACGACATCGACGGCTCACTGTCACAGTCTCTTCATCTTCAATTGAAGGTCCGTCCGGTCTAAAAACTAGTAAATTTTAATTTCTCCCCCAAATTCATCAGTCTCTTCGTCTTCAAACACTGGTAGATTTTAGTTTCCCCCTTCAAATTCCCGTTTTTTGGTGCTTGGATAAGATTTTACTTTTTTTGTTTTTTGGTTTAGATCTTCATTCTAGAAAACCCAATTACTTACAATTGGAAATTTTAGATGCGAAGTACTGTAATTTTTTTCTAATTTGTTTATTTTGTTTTTTTCTGATTTTTTTGTGTTTTTTAATTACACCTGCGATTTTATTTGTTACATTTTGTCCTCTTTAATCATTTTAGATTTGTGTATTTTTCATATTGTATTTGGATGAACTGTATGAAGCTTTTCTAGGTATAGTTAATTGGTGGCAAGAATATGAGTATTGAGGTTACCTCTGAAGCGCACTCACTAAGCTCAAGACCTATTTGTCATTGTGGACATGCTGCAACAATACGAGTGTCAGGCCAAGCAAACTCATTTGGAGACAAATTCTATGGGTGCCCAAAATTGCAAACATTGCCCACTGGTGGGTCTCTGATTGTTCGTTCTTTGAATGGCTACACAAGAAATGTGAACCGACTACCACTGTGAGTAACAGGGCGACAATCAGTCCGACTACTAGGGAGAGTACAAGTGAGTTTCAAGGACTTCTTGTGCACTTACAAAGAGAAGTAATAGATGCCACCGTCCGTGAACGAGAGGTACATGCAAAGAACGCGATATTGGAGTCAAGAAAAAAAAAAGAAACGAGAAGATTTCTTGTATATTTGTATTCTGTTTTTGGTGGGATTGTTGTACCAAAATCTTGTTCATTGAGACAAATATAGTTAGATGTACAAGCACCACTATCTTATGGAATTATGTACTTTATTTTATCATTCAATGCTTCATTATGGTGGAATTGTTATTGTACCAAAATCTTGTTTGGCCTTTGTAATGTTTTGAATGCCATCCTCAGTTATGTGTTTGTATAAATTAAATTTCTTGCTATTTGTGTTTCATGTAGCATAAACGCATGTCAAATTACTTCTGGATTGAAGCTTATGTTGGTAGTGAAAGTATTGGTGATGAGATAATTGTTTATGGGTGTGGAAATATGAAAAGGGCTTTTGACAGTGATGTTGGTTTGTGGAATCCTTGTATTTTTTTCAAATGCAAAGTGATTTTAAGATATATTTGGCAGTGCATATCTCATGAAGCAATGATTAAATACCATTGAACCAAAAACATAGCAGTGATAACCAAATCAACATACATGAAATTTCAGTTTCGCATTTGGTTACAAATTAACATACATGAAATTCCAGTTTTGAATTTAAACAAGTTTCGAATTTAAAAATCTTAGAAACAACTACAATATCACCGATAGGTTGCTCTTGTTCACTTGCATCTATATATGCTAAGATTCTCGACAAATTTTCTTTGTATAAAGACTGGAGGATGTTTTCCTTTTTTTCTTTCCACTTATATCCACTTGTTTTTTTGCAACATCTTTAAATCCTGCTGCTCGACACACCCACCTACGATATCCATCACCTATACTGCTCCGTTTTCTTGTATAGAAACCATTAGATGAACTATAAGCATTGTAGAAATTTTCAAAATCATCAACCGTTGCAAAACTCATTCCAACCTTGGAAATATTTTCGTGATGCTCTTCATTTATTACTTTTCTTGGTGTTGAAAAGGACTCACAAAACCCGACAAGTGGATCGGAGGTGCTCATCTCAGATGTTAGTAGCGGTGTTGGTTCCTCCACACACATTAAATCCATTATATGGATGTAATCAGTGTCCTACAAATTGAAAAGGAGCATTCAATATTAATCTAAAATACACCAAACTGTCTGCCCCTCTCAAAATTTGACCAAGTGAAGCTGTGAAGAACAAATGTGACTTTTAACCAAGTGAAGAACAAAAAAACTGACTTTTTACCAACTTAATCCAAAATGCAGTGAAGAACCAAAGTGAAGAACAAAAGTGACGAAATTACAAAATTCACTGCGTTGTCATGGGATTTACACTGCTTTTTAAGAATACAAATCTCAAGAAAAATACAAAAACCAAAACCTTAAAACAAAACTCAGATGGGGCGCTTGAACAGTGGCGAAGGAAAAACCTTAAACCAAAACTCCGATGATAAACAGTGGCGAAGGGAAAAAAATTTAAGATGATAAGAAGATGATAAAAAAAACTGTGATTGCAGCGGCGCTTGAACAAAAAACAACAATTTCAAGGAATTTTTTTTAAATTTACCAGCACTCCAAGCTCCGGTGTACTTGTCGGGAGAGATGAACTCAGTCGCCGATGATAAAGAGTGGCCAAGACTCGCCGAAGATTAAAGAGTGCCGATGATAAAGTGTGGCGAAGAGGTGACGGAGAATATTTAGAAAATCTCCGTTAATTGAGAAGCTAAGCAGATCTAGGATAAGGAAGTTAATCAACACCGTTCATTTAAAAAGAAATCAGATTTAAGGGCTAGAATGGATATGTCATGCCATCACATAAAAAGTGAATGTCAGGTGAACGGGCTTACAAAAATTACATAAGGAGACATGTCACCTAATTATTGGAGTCATTTTTATGTACAGGGGATGAGAAAACAATTTATATCTAATATATTCAAGAACTAAAATATATCTGGAATCAAAAGATATATGATACCAAAATATATCTGATACTAATTTATCCAAACTTTAATATCTGAAGTCAAGATTTATCCGATCTAATTTACATACCAATTGTTTCTATACTGATCTAAAATCAAATTGAATTGTACCGAACCAAATAAATGATTGAACCCCAACTAAAATTAAACCGAACCAACTAAAATTAAGCCGAACCAAACAAATTATAACATATGTTCAAAAATACCCAAATTGAATACTCTCTTCATCCATTAATTTTTTGCTTACTTTCCTTTTTGAACCGTCTAAAAATTTCTTTCTCATTTCCTACTTTGACAAAAAATATTTAATGAATGTCTTATTATACCCTCAATTTTAATCTTTTCTTAATCAATGTGTCAGGTCAAACCGGAAAGAAAATTTTGGACAAAGGAAATAGATGCAAAACAGAATCGATTCGATTAACCCGTTTGCCAGGTATAATCAATTTATGCTTCATGGATATCAAAATCCATACTACACCCTCCCTTTGAAGGGGTAGGGGAAGCACACGCATAACTCATATGACACCCTACCACCATTTCCATCGTAGCCTCAAAAACACGCTCTCCGTTTATCTTTTTATCATCTGGAATTAAATCCTGCAAATAAATAAATAAAATTGTTTATCAACTAGCCTCCTCTCTCATTCTAGAGTTCAATAGATAACGCGTTCCACAATTGTACCTCTATTGCATTCTGAGCATCCTCAACTTCGAAATCACCTTCACCCTCTATAGAAATAATCACCTCTTTAAGTGTAAACGGGTTCAAGGAAACAGATGCCGTCGGACTTGATTTCCATATCTTTTTAATATTTGTACCATCTTCACCAATAAGATAATCAATATACGACAAAGGAATTTCTGTGGACTCATGAACCTGCAAAACAATGTTTGGATTAACCTTAGTTATTGCAAGACAACCTTACAAGGAATAAAGGTTTATCTGGACTTGTACGACAAAGGAATTTCTGTGGACTTGTACAATATGAATGTGAGTTGGAGCACATCCCTAAGGCAATTGCAAAGGTTTATTTGCTATTTAGGGAATTTCTAACGTAACTAAGAGATTAAGAAAGTGTATCCCATAACCCAAACCGCAAACAGGTTGTAAAGTTTTGTAATTAATGTACTAAAAAATATTAGTGTGATAACAACAAGGTACCAACTTTAATTTGTAATAAAAAGAAACCCCAACTTTAAAATTTGTGACAAGGATGTACCCACCACAGATTTGCATGATCTCTTCACCTAATCTGATTGGTTCTGATATGATTGGAATAAGTTCTGATCGAATCTAATCTGATCTGAGTGTAGTTATATTTAAAGATATTTCTAATCTGGTCTGATCTAATTCCAATAAGAATAAGTAATAAGTAAAATAACAAGTTGAGGAGAACATGACCCAAGTCGCCAATGTGAAACAAGGATTAAAATGCAATTTTTTTCTCTTTTTATGTTTTTTTGCAACAGTAGTGTTTTACTTGTTTAACGGGAAAATAAAAATTAAAAAATAATATTCTAAATAATTATATTTCTCAGTATATTATAAAGTAATAATTACTCTCAGTATACTTTGGTTGTTTTTACTCTTTTTGAGTTGTTCTTTTTGTCTAAACTCAATTTCTTAATAGCTAAATTAGGAAAGTGAGTAGGGTAAAAATAATAATTTTTATTTATTTTAGATATAAAAAATTAAAAAAATGAGATGAATAGAACCCAAAAAGAAAAATATGTAGGAAGAACTATAGAAGATGAAGGGGGTAGTACTTAGGTTGTGTTACGTTTGCCTTATCTAATCTAATTTTTTGAAGTTCTGATGTGATCTTGTATGATCTGATTGGATCTGATTTGGTCTGATCTGACCAGGTCTTATCTGATCAGATTGGGTCTGATTTGATACGAATTTGATTAAAATTAAAATTTTTATTTTAATAGTTATAATAATAATAATATAAATATTAATAATAATAGTAATAATAAGACTAATAGTAATAATAATAGTAGGGATAGTAATAATAATAATAATAACTATAATAATAATACTAATAGTAATAATAATAGTAATAAAAATAGAAAAATTGATAATAAAAACAATAATAATAATAGAAATAATAATAAAAGTAGTAATAATAATAATAACTATAATAATAATACTAATAATATTAGTAATAACAATAATAATAGGAATAATAATAATGGAAATATTAATAATAATAGTAATAGTAATAATAATATTAGTAACAATGATGATAATAATAATAATAGTAACCCTAATGATAATACTAGTAATAATAATATTAGTAGTAGTAATAATAATAGCAATAATTATAATAACAATAGTAATATTAACTATAGTCATAATAATAATTGTAATAATTGTAATAGTAATAATAAATATAATAATAATAGTAATAATAATAATAGTAACAATAATAATATTATTAATATTAATAGTAATAATAATAATAATAAAAATAATAATCATAATATTAATTGTAATAGTAATAATAATACTAATAATAGTGTTAATAATAGTAATAGTAATAAAAATAATATTAACTTTGTTTAGATTTAGTCTGATTTGGTGTGGTTTGATTTGATCTAATTTTAATAAGAATAATAAACAGAACAAATAAGTTGAACGGAATGCTGTCTTACTCGGATTACTAATATGGAGTTTAAGTATTTAAGACATTATTTAATAATTTATATCTTTTCATTAATCCTACATAAAAAAATATAACAATTAACCAAAACAAACCATTTAATAATTTTTATAAAGTTAAATTTGTGGTGTATAATATTTTAATAAATACTCCATAGATATAAATATAAATGTTCTAAAAGAATAGGATAATTTTTAAAATTTCTATCCATTACATATTTAAAATAATCAAAACGTAAGAAAATCAAAATATTAATTAAAGTAACTTTGAAGATTTAATATAAATGGACTTTTTTATAAAACAGTATATTATATTGGACTGAATAGAACAAGTAAAACACTATAGTGGTGATTGGTGAACACAAAAAAAAGAGAAGAAAAATTAGAATTTGGAAACCTCCTTGTTACAAAATTTAAAGTTGGATATTTTTTGCTACAAATTGAAATTGGGGTACATTGTTGTTTCAAGGTTCATAGTTGGGGTACTTCCCATGTAAATAAGCCATATAAAATTTGTCTTTTAATAATTGATTGTCACTTATATATCTTAATAAACTAACTAATGATCCATGTGGGGTTAGATCCGTGTACTCACACTTTCCTCATACCCTATTTTTTTGGTATTGTATTGGGCTTTTTTTCGTTTGTTGTTAACAATAAACTAAAAAGGACAAGAAAAAAAAGCAAATTCTGTAGATGGGGAAGGGCACTAACCATAAAGTCTCTTTGAGCTTTCACGCATGAGGGTGCTTTTCCAGGTGTGTATATTTTAGGATATGATGGACGAATGCCATTCTGTGTCGTACCCATTGCATTAAAAAACAAGAGTGACACAATAGAATATAATCTAGTATGCATAAAAGGGCATGCCATCAATTAGGATAAATTACAGTTAAAATAAGAACTAGCAGAGTTAATAATAACATATGAATAGGGAACATGTCATGCTAGCTTATTACACACCTGTTAGATACATAGTAAGTTGACACGGATTATCGGACTTGATTGTGTAGAGAATAATCAACTTTTTTGCATGTGAAGCTGGTACAAGTAGTCTTGTTAAGCAGTTCTCATTAGACATGGTGTGCAAAAAATATCGGTGAACCTCATCAAAAGCATTAACAACATGAGTAACAGCGTGTCTAGAGTCCCTTTTCGCTGATACCATAACCTATGGACAAGAATTCAGATGATATCACATACAACTTGAACTCCAATCAGAAAAATGTTCATTCTATTTTTTTTAGTGTCAATTAAACTCGATGATACTAGTATTCAAAAATTAGTGCACCACAAATTTGACTACTGTCACATTCTACATGGATCTTAAATAAAATTTAAAAAAATTATAATCAAAGTTTGACTAAGAACAAAGGGCTTAACAGGATTTCAAGGCCCCAAGCAAGCCAGGCATTCAAGGGAAAATACCACACACAAAGTCTAGAGTAAACTATTGCATGTTGAACATAGTACTTCACA